GTGGTTAGAGAGTCATAAACCAACGCGTTAGTCACTGGCCCAGCTGGCTACAGTAAGATTTGTCAAACTAGGTATATTTATATACCATAGGAAGGTTAGTATAGGCACCACTGTGACCACAAATGTAAGTTTTTACAGACGAATCTCGCGCCAGCGTGGCCGTGACGAGCTCTAGCTCAAGTCCCCTCAAAGCCCAGTGGCTAACGCGTCGGTCTGGAGTTTTACGACTCTCTAACCTTGGGTTCAAGCCCCGCGCGTGGTATGGTTTGTTTACAATCTTGTCAATACGATTTCATGAGTCATGGATATCATCCATCGGGCACAGTGCCCAGGGTCTACATTGAAGTATCATAGTTATACCAAAAGTATCATACTCTACTAGTGTATTATAAGGTAATCAGTGTAATCTGGCCCTGATGGGGCGTATATGTTGTGTACAGTGCAACATATATCTTTTGGGCTATTATTTGTAGATATATCTTTTGGGCTATTAAATCTCTGAACCATATTCACTTTAAACCAGCAAATATTAGAGCCTACAAGACTAGAAAATACGCTGGACCTCATCTTCAATAACAGTGACGATCTGATACGTAATATAACCGTATTAAAGATAATACACTCAGATCAGAACATAATAGAGGTAGAGACATATATGCACAAGGCTCCTGACCAACAAAATGTGATCAATCATGAGGGTGTCTTCACAAAATTCAACTTCAATAACAAAAGCATGCAATGGGAACAAATCAGCCATGTCCTCAATGAAACAAGCTGGGAAGATATCCTAAACAACACGGATCCGAACCTTTGCCTAGAAAAAATGAACTCTGTGGCACTTGAGGTCTGCTCAAGGCACATTCCATTAAGAAAAAGAAAGAGAAGATGTAAACTAGAAAGAGAGAGATGCTCCCTATACAGGAAAAGGCGAAGAATCACACAGCTGCTGAGAGGGGCCAATATATCTGAAATATGAAGGGAGGCATTACCTGGAGAGAGTTCCGGGGGTCAACGCCCCAGCGACCCGGTCTGTGACCAGGCCTCCTGGTGGATCAGAGCCTGATCAACCAGGCTGTTACTGCTGACTGCACGCAATCCAATGTACAAGCCACAGCCCGGCTGGTCAGGTACCGACTTTAGGTGCTTGGTCAGAGAAATAGCAAATATCGAACTTAAGCTTAAGGAATCTTACAGGAGACAAGAATCTCAGGAAGAACTAAAAGTCATAAAGGAAATTGAAAAAAAAAATAAATATTTCTTGACTCTTATGACAAATCTAAGGGTAAAACAACATCCAGTATTGGGCCGCTGCTTAGGCGAGATGGGGCCTACACAGATGACAGCAAAGAAATGAAGGAGATACTAAAGTCCCAATATAACTCATTGTTCAGTGAGACGTTAACCAGACTAAGGGTCGACAATCTAAATGAATTCTTTATGACTGAGACCCAAAATCTGATCATCTCAAAAATCTCTGATATTATCCTAACACCACAAGACTTTGAAAAGGTGATAAATGACACGCCCATGCACTCTGCCTCAGGCCCAGACTCGTGGAACTCCGTGTTCATCAAGAACTGCAATAGCACCTGTCAAGTGCCTTCAGCATTCTATGGAGAGGGAGCATGGATACAGGGATCATCCCACACTCACTAAAAATAACAGACATAGCCCCACTCTACAAAGGTGGCAGTAAAGAAATTGCAAAGAACTACAGACCGATAGCACTAGTATCCTATATCATAAACATCTTAGAAAGGGTTCTAAGAAGCAAAATCGCCAACCACCTAGATACCCATCAGTTACATAACCCAGGGCAACACGGGTTTAGAGCAGGTCGCTCCTGCCTGTCCCAGCTACTGGACCACTATGACAAGGTCCTGGATACTATAAAGGATAACCAAAGAGCAGATGTAGTATACACAGACTTTGCAAAATCCTTCGACAAGTGTGAACCCGGTGTAATAGCGCACAAAATGCGTGATAGAGGAGTAAGAGAAAAGGTTGGTAGATGGATCTGTAACTTCCTAATAGAACACAAAGAGTAATAGTAAACAGAGTGAAGCCTGAGGCAGCTATGGTGAAAAGCTCTGTTCCACAAGGCACAGGGCTGTGGTTCATACGTTGGACTACGTGCGGCCAGCAGTAACAGCCTCGTTGATCAGGCCCTGATCCACCGGTAGGCCTGGTCGTGGACCGAGCCGCGGGGGCGTTGATCCCCGGAATGCCCTCCAGGTAGACTCCCATCCTGTTCTTCATTCTCATATCTGACATAGAGATGACACCCGAATTGCCATGAAAGTGTTCTCCATCGAAGACACCGCAAGACTCCAAGCGGATATCAACCAAATCTTCTAATGGGCCACTCAAAACAATATGATGTTCAGTGAAGAGAAATTTCAACTTCTCAGATATGGGAAAACTTGAGGAAATAAAAACTGTATCAGGGTATACAACAAATTCTAACCATACAGTAGAGCGAAAAAGTAATGTGAAGGACCTGGGAGTGATAATGTCAGAGGAACTCACCTTCAAAGACACCACAAAAATGTATCTGCCGCATTCGCTAGAAAAATGATAGGATGGATAATGATAACCTTCAAAACAGGGCCGCCAAGTCCATGATGACTCTTCAAATCGCTTGTTCTCTTTAGGCTGAAACACTGCTGTACACTAACTGCCCCCTTCAAGGCAGGCGAAATTGCTGACCTGGAGAGTGCGCAAGGAACTTTCACGGCACACATAAATACGATAATGCATCGAAATTACTGGGAACGGTTGAAGTCCCTTGATTTGTATTTCCTGGAACGCAGGCGAGAAAGGTGCATGATAATATACACTTGGAAAATCCTAGATGGATTAGTATCAAACTTGCACAAGAAAATCACTCTATGAAAGCAAAAGACTCGGCAGGAGATGCAACATTCCCCCAGTGAAAAGCAGGGGCGCCATGAGTACACTGAGAGACAACACAGTAAGTGTCAGGGGGCCTTCTAGCATATGTACGGGGGATTACCAATAGACCCCTGGCTGTCTTCAAGAAGGCGCTGGACAGGCACCTAAAGTCAGTACCTGACCAGCCAGGCTGTGGTTCGTACGTCAGTTTGCATGCTGCCAACAGTACCAGCCTGGCTGATCAGACCCTGATCCACCACGATGCCTGGTCTCACACCGGGCCGCGGGGGCGTTAGCCCCCGAAACTTTCTCCAGGTGTACTCCAGGATGGTGCCCAAGGTCTACCAAGGTTTTTATTTGGCCCTAACATTGCATTCGAGAAACAATATAGATGCACCGGCTCTGTGTTCCGTTCCTGGATACCTTTGGTTTCTTGCTGCCTTTACTTGTCTTCCCATTCTGTTGCATCCATCTAAAATTGCCTTACATTCCCATTCCGACCCATGGCTCCGTAATGGGGCTAAGTGCCTTCTTTATATTCCAACTGTAATTTCAGACGCGGTATCAATGAACATGGGTTGGGTAATGAGATTGTCCATGTTCTTGAATTCCCGACAGACAGCTCCTAGAATTACCAGGCCCTATCAGAGCTTCTCCGATTATTTTATAATCTATGGAGTGCTTTCCGGTTGGTTTATTAGGTTTAAAGCCTATCAACTAAATGAAGGTCATTAAGGCTTTATGTCATCAGTACACCACGTCACTGGTGTACCGATGACTTAATCCCTAGTTTTTAATGTAAATGTGGTCGTGCAGTACAATATTTATACTGTACAGTTGTTAGGTAAGACACATATGCAACATTTTAATGTTCAATACTGTACAGTACATGTAAAAAAATATTTCGTTGCAAAAAGTTAAAAGATTGTTATTGTAGAAGATGAAAAGTGTTATAGGGCATTATTTACTGAAGATTAGATATCAAATTTGTTCATATTATCCGCAACGCCATCTTAAAGCTTAGTGCGATTCCATTTATTGTATCTGGTAACTGTGTGAATGATTGTAACTGAGTCACAACATGCACAAAATTCAGAGAGGAACCTTTACTGTAAATGACGTTTCGGTCAGTCCTCAACCATTATCAGGTCGCCAGTGATAGTATGTTTTGACCTGGGGTTTGGTAGAAGCAGTTAACATTTTACCACGTTAATTTTTTTGGATGTATTGCAGAAGAACAGTTTCGTAATGTTTTCATTTTTTCCCCAAGCCCTATTTTTATTTATTTTACATTAGGTTAAATTACTTTCGGATAGCCTACGTTAGGCTAAGCTATATGAAAACTCTTTTTATGTTATTAACTTAAACTGCAAAAGCCGGCCGCTAAACAAGGAATATCAGGCATCACTGAACTCAGCTCTCACACAGTGTCCGGGGGTTCGATCCCCGGTTCTGGTGGCAACGTTGGACGTGTTACCTGAAAACACCTGCTGTCCTTGTTCATCTAGCAGTAAGTAGGTTCCTGAGTGTTAGCAGACTGGTGTGGGTGGCATTCGGGAGGAAGGGGGTAGCATATCTTTAATGGGGCTGGTGATTTGAAATAAGCTGAGGTAGGATTACACCTCCTACCCGGTAAATAGGTTAAAAAAAAAAAATTCCTCTTGGTGCGAGAGTGGGCTGCTTGGGGTTTGTAATGTACTGCGCCCACGATAATCATTTGGTTCCATATCTCTTTAATAGTAATAATATGTTTATTTCTACAAGTACATGTACAAGGTATACAGACCTAGCTGACATCAGTGATATACTACTATATAGAAACTCGCTTGTTATGCAGAGCATTTCGGGCAAATTAGGTCAGTTTTGTCCCAGGATGCGACCCACACCAGTCGACTAACACCCAGGTACCCATTTTACTGATGGGTGAGCAGGGACAACAGGTGCAAGGAAACACGCCCTTGCCGGGAATCGAACCACAGACCCTTAGCGTGTGAAGCGAGAGCTTTGCCTACCCCTTAATTAGATAATCTTTTCTTCCACCATTTCCTGTCCTTACACGACCCCAGACGCTGAAGTAGTTGTTTTCTTCTCCTTTCCCTGGGCAGGTCGGTGATGGGGTTTAGTGCGTCCCTGCAGGGAGAGCGCAGCCACACTGCGCTGCTGGCCCGTCAGGACGCTGAGCTGCGTCTGCTGGACACCATGCGAAGGGTGCTGGTGGCCAGGGCCAAGTGTGACAGAGATTATGCTGCTGCCCTCACACACCTGGCACACACTGCTGCCAAGATGGACGCTCCAGACAACATTCTCGACGACTCGCATCTCCATAAGGTCACTACAATTTATTATTTTTATTATAATAATTATTATTATTGTTTATTGTTATTGTATATTAATGGAGAAACGCTAAACCCGTAGGGATTACAGCGCCTGCTAAATGGGAGGTAATCAAGTTTTATTCAAGGAGAGGGAAAATCCAGTACCTTGAATCAAGAGCTCCTGACGCCTTTAACTCACATGAAGGGAATAATAATTTAAAATCAGTAACCTCCAAATATTTAACTAATATTTCTTAAATGTTTTCATTATATTAGCCTTCACAACATCAAATATTTAATATTTCTTTACGATTCTTAACATTAGCATATACAGCGTCTATAGGCAATTTGTGTTCCATGTCTTACGTGCATTAGAATTACATCTATTTATTCTCAAATTGAATAAAATTTCTTATCAGTCACATAAAAAAATGAGAAAAATTTCTTGTTAGAAAAAGAAATAGAAAAAATACTTATTAGAATAAAAGTTAGAAAAAATCCTTGTCGGCCTAACGATGTGGTCACGTCACTATGTAATTTGGTCATGACTAATGACCACCTTGACAGCCTCTTAGAATGCCTCGAGTTATGATTTTCTAGATATGCATTCCTGTTTAATATTATCGTAGCTTAAATACATTATTTACATATATTTACAACTCATTTTCCGCTTCTGACCACTTGTTTAACCCGTCCTCAAACTTTTTTTTTTACATTCAGGAGAAAACATGGACCGTGTCTGTCCATACTTTACGGTTCATGTCACCGACATCTTCATACAAAACTGAACTACCGATGATACTTTTAGTTTAGTCTTAAACTAGCAGTTATAACGAGGACTATAGTACTCCGATGGTTGCGCAAAAATAATTTTCAAAGCCAATAATAAAATGTTTTGTAATCATTGGTTTATTAAATGATTCTTTGAGATTTGCTGTCTTTTACACATTTAATTGTATTTCATAAGTTCTAAACCAGTGTTGTGGAGGCTCGATCCTCCGTAACTGTAACTGCTAGACAAAGGCTAGGCTTTATAATATATAAGTATCTCTGGATGCCAATGATGAAATGTAGTGTTGGGACATTTTATCTCAGTGGCCAATGACCACTCAGGCTGTGGGAGTATTTTTCGCTACTTTCAAACTTTTTAAACTGATAAACCAGAATGGGATAGTCTTATTTTCATCGGCTAATGATAGATCGTAAATTTTTTCAACAGAATAACCATTTCGCGGATTTGGTGTGTGTGTGTATATAATATATATATATATATATATATATATATATATATATATATATATATATATATATATATATATATATATATATATATATATATATATATATATTCGCACAATAGAGCGAAAAACTAATGTGAATGACCTGGGAATAATAATGTCAGAGGATCTCACTTTCAAAGATCACAACAATGTATCTACCACATCTGCTAGGAAAATGATAGGATGGATAATGAGAACCTTCAAAACTAGGGATGCCAAGTCAATGATGATTCCCTTAAAATCGCTTCTCTCTAGGCTGGAATACTGCTGTACACTAACTGCCCCCTTCAAGGCTGGCAACATTGCTGATCTGGAAAGTGTCCAGAGAACTTTCACGGCACACACAAGTACGATAAAGCACCTAAAGTACTGGGAACGGTTGAAGTCCCTTGATTTATATTCCCTGGAATGCAGGCGAAAAAGATACATGATAATATACACTTGGAAAATGCTAGAGTGGCTATTCTCAAATTTGCAAACGAAAATCACTCCATATGAAAGCAAAAGACTGGGAAGGAAATGCAACATACCCACAATGAAAAGCAGGGGTGCCACGAGTGCACTAAGAGACAACACAGTGTCAGGGGCCCAAGACTGTTCAACTGCCCCTCCCCCCTAGCATACATGAGGAAGATTACCAATAGACCACTGGCTGTCTTCAAGAAGGCGCTGGACAGGCACCTAAATTCATTATCTGATCAGGCGAGCTGTGGTTCGTACATCGGTTTGCGTGCAGTCAACAGTAACAGCCTGGTTGAGCAGTATACAAATAACCCGCACATAGGAAAGAGGAGCTGACGACATCGTTTCGGTCCGACTTGGACCATCTATGGTACTATGCCTTTTTGTTCTTTCTGGTTGATCCGGCACTAATCCACCGCGAGGCCTGGTCACAGACCGGGCCGCCGGGGCTTTGATCCCCGAAACCCTCTCGAGGTGCCACTTGAGTGGCTACAGCAGACGCTTTATTGAGCCTTGCCCCACCGGTGACCAGCAGGGAAATATTGCCCAAATCTGGGGAAATATTAGAAACTGAAGAAAGAGTGTTCCCCAGGTAAAGCCATCTCCCTAAACCCCGGTAGAACCACACTCCCACCCTGCCTCAGGCAATGTCTGCTGTCTCCACAACGACAAACGTAAAAATCCGTAATGGAGACATATCAAGTGACAGGCCTCCAAGAGCATGATTAAGTCTGTGAGTTAGCTACACTAGCATTAAATTAAAAGAATTTCGAATATATTTTGTTAGCAAAGAACTAGTAAACGAGTTTGAAGAAAGTAGAACAGTACAAATAGGGACTAGATGAAATGTCAGGTAAACATGTTGGTGGAGAAAGTAACAGGATCAGTAGACTACAAAACGCTGTAACTGCTGTAAAGTATCTCTGGATGCCAATGACAAAATATAGTGTGTGGACAGAGACAAGTTCATAGGCTAAACATCGAATCATTTAAAGATACGTCAAAGAAAATCATACAGGAAGTAGCAGATCACTTCATTGTTAATTATAAGATGTGAAAATTTGAGATTGTTTCTACATTTTCCACAAACTATTTGAATTAAGTATTATTTAGTAATGTAACCTTGTAATGATTTTTTTTTTAGTGGTACTGAGATACTTGGATTTCCTTGAGCTTGGATGTGCATATTGTATTGTGTAGATCAGCTCTTTGAAAAAATTGCATGTTGTGACTTTATTTTTTTTAATATTTAACTATTCCCAGTGGGTGCCTGACAGTCATACATTATAACCTCTGTGAACCTCTTCTCTTAAACGGTGAGTTCACAGAAAACTAAATATGTATTTAGATCGCTGGGCGATCCAAGAAAGGTATCCCCGTATTTCAAAAACCCAGTCTCTCCAACCTTAATGGATGCAAAAGAATTATTGGAGGGTGGTCATAAAATTCCAGTGCAGGAAATATAAAAACATGCAGTATATGTATGTGTATTTGTGTGCATGTGTGTTTACCTATGCAGTTTTTTTTATGTACGTGTGGAGACGTATGCCTGTGTATAAGCACATGTACATATGTATGTGTACATATGCATATATACATCTGAGCATTGTATGTGTGAGTGCTGATGAGTGCTATGTATGGATCCTGCTTCTACTTCACTCTGAAGATTGTTCCACTTCTGACAACTCTAAGGCTGAAGAAATACTTCATAACATCCCTATAACTCATCTGAGTTTTCATCTTCCAGTTGTGTCCCATTGTTCCTGTGTCCCATCTCTGAAACATTCTGTCCCTGTCCACCTCGTCAGTTCCTCTCAGTATTTTACACATCATTACCATGACCCCCTTATCCCTCCTGTCCTCCATTGTCGTCAGGTTAAGTTCCCTTAACCTTTCCTCGTAGGACATACCCCTTGGCTCTGGGACCATTCTTACCTGGAGAGAGTTCCAGGGGTCAGCGCCCCCATGGCCCGGTCTGTGACCAGGCCTCATGGTGGATCAGAGCCTGATCAACCAGGCTGTTACTGCTGGCTGCATGCAATCCAACGTATGAGCCACAGCCCGGCTGGTCAGGTACTGACTTTAGGTGCTTGTCCAGTGCCTGCTTGAAGACAGCCAGGGGTCTATTGGTAATCCCCCTTATGTATGCTGGGAGGCAGTTGAACAGTCTTGGGCCCCTGACACTTATTGTATTGTCTCTTAACGTGCTAGTGACACCCCTGCTTTTCATTGGGGGGATATGGCAAACTTTTGCACTTACTCTAATTTCTTGACGTGATTGACCAGTGTGGGTTCCATACTGGGCCTAATGTACATGGTGTACAGTGCCATGAATGACTCTACTTATTTGTCGAAATGCTGTTCTTAGGTTTGCCAGGTGCCAATATGCTGCAGCAGTTATTTGGTTGATGTGCGCCTCAGGGGATGTGCTCGGTATGATGCTCACCCCAAGATCTTTTTTCTTGAGTGAGGCTCACAGCTTCTGACCCCCGAGCATGTACTCTGTCTGCTGTCTTCTTTGTCATTCCCCAGATTTCATGACTTTCCACTAGGTGGGTTTAAACCCCAGGAGCCATTTGTTGGACCAGGTTTGCATCCTGTCCAGATCCCTTTGTCGTCCTTCTTGATCCTTGTCCGTCCACTTGTAGTCTCTGCATTAGCTTCACACCTGCAAACAAGGATGCCTCTGAATCTAACCCTTTCGTCATGTCATTCACATACACAGGAGGACCCGCTTTACAGTGCTTCGCTTTACAGCATTTTGTTAATACAGTAGTTTTCAATTATACCCATTCTTCATTTATGCAGGCTTCCTACAATAAATATATTCACCACTCACTATAAGCTACTGTATATGCATATTTTAGGCCTAGCTTTATTGCTCAGTTAATAAATGATAGTGTAAACATGTTATCAGGTTTTTATATGCGCTTGAAAGTGAAAAAAGACAATGTTTCACTTTACAGCGATATTTTCTTTACAGCTGTAGCCCATAACGTAACCTGCTGTATAAGCAGGGCCCTCCTGCACAGGAAACAGCACTGGTCCTAGGACTGACCCTTGTGGAACCCGGCTGAACACGTGTCTACTTTGACACCTTGTCACGTACTATCATTCGTTCCTTCCTGTCAGATATTCCCTTATCCATTGCAGCTCTTTTCATGCTACTCCTGCCTGCTCCTCTAGTTTTTGTACCAATCTCTCGTGTGGTACTGAGGCAAAAGCCTTCTTACAGTCCAAGATAATGAAGTCTACCCACCCCACTCTCTCCTGTCTTAATTCTGTTACCTTGTTGTAAAACTCCATTAGGTTTGTGACACAGGATTTTCCCTCCCTGAAGGCATGCTGGTTGTCATGTATGAGCCCATTCCTTTCTAGGTGCTCCTCCACTCTTCTGATAATCTTCTCAATGACTTTACATACTATACATGTCAATGGCACTGATCTGTAATTTAATGCATCCTGTCTGCCTCCTTTCTTAAAAATTGGGACTACGTTTGCTGTCCTCCACATCTTGGGTAGTTGCCCTGTTTCGACAGATTTGTTGAAAATTGTTGTTAGCGGCACACACACTGCCTCTGTTCCCTCTGTCAGGACCCATGGAGAAATGTCATCTGGGCCCACTGCCTTCAAGGCATCTAATTCACATAGCAGTTTCTTCACCTGCTCCATGGTTGTGTGTACTGTGTCCAGCACTTGCTGGTGTACCTTACCACCTCAGTTTGCTGAAAGCCTTTCTCCCTGCACTGAGGATGTATCCGGGTGTATATATACTCACCTAATTGTGGTTGCAGGGGTCGAGGCTCAGCTCCTGGCCCTGCCTCTTCCCTGAATGCTACTAGATCCTCTCTCTCCCTGCTCCATGAGCTTTATCATACCTCATCTTAAAGCTATGTATGGTTCCTGCCTCCACTACCTCACTTGCTAGACTATTCCACTTCCTGACAACTGTATGACTGAAGAAATACTTCCTAACATCCCTTTGACTCATCTGAGTCTTCAGCTTCCAATTTTGACCCCTTGTTTCTGTGTCCCCTCTCTGGAACATGCTGTCTGTCCACCTTATCTATTCCACACATTATTTTGTATGTTATCATGTCTCCCCTAACCCTTCTGTCTTCCAGTGTTGTCAGGCTGATTTCCTTCAACCTTTCTTCGTAGGACATTCCCCTGAGCTTGGCAACTAACGTTGTTGCAAACCTTTGCACTTTCTCTAATTTCTTGACGTGCTTGACCAGGTGTGGGTTCCAAACTGGTGCTGCATACTCCGGTATGGGCCTGACGCACACAGTGTACAGTGTCTTGAATGATTCCTTACTAAGGTGTTGGAATGTTATTCTCAGGTTTGCCAGGGGCCCATATGCTGCAGCAGTTATCTGGTTGATGTGTGCTTCCGGAGACGTGCTTGGTTATGCTCACCCCAAGATCTTTCTCCTTGAGTGAGGTTTGCAGTCTTCGGCCACCTGTCTGTGGTCTTCTTTGCCCTTCTCTAATCTTCATGACTTTGCATTTGGCGGGGTTGAATTCAAGAAGCCAGTTGCTGGACTGTGTGTTCAGCCTATCCAGGTCTCTTTGTAGTCCTGCCTGATCCTCATCGGATTTAATTCTCCTCATTAACTTCACATCATCTGCGAATAGGGACACTTCTGAGTCTTTCCCTTCCATCATGTCATTAACATACACCAAAAATAGCACTGGTTCTAGGACTGACCCCTGTGGGACCCGGCTCGTCACAGGTGCCCACTGTGATACCTCATCATGTACCATGACTCATTGTTGCCTCCCTGTCAGGTATTCTCTGATCCATTGCAGTGCCCTTCCTGTTATACGTGCCTGATCCTCCAACTTCTGCACTATGTAATCTCTTGTGTAGAACTGTGTCGAAGGCCTTCCTGCAGTCCAGGAAAATACAATCAGCCTACCCCTCTCTCTAATGTCTTACTTCTATTACTTTGTCATAAAACTCCAGAAGGTTTGTGACACAGGATTTGCCTTCCATGAATCCTTGCTGGTTGTCGTTTATAATCTTGTTCCATTCCAGGTGCTCTACCACTCTCCTCCTGATAATCTTCTCCATGACATTGCATACTATACATGTCAGTGACACTGGTCTGTAGTTTAGTGCCTCGTTAACGTCTCCTTTCTTAAAAATGGGGGCTACATTTGCCGTCTTCCATACCTCAGGTAGTTGCCGAGTTTCAAGGGACATGTTGAAGATTGTGGTTAGTGGCACACACAGCATCTCTGCTCCTTCTCTAAGGACCCACAGGGAGATGTTGTCCGGTCCCGTCGCCTTTGAGGTATCAAGGTCACTTAGCAGCTTCTACACCTCCTCCTCAGTTGTGTGTGTCATCCAACACTTGTTTGTATAGTCTCTGTTGGTGTTCCCCTCTGTGCTGTCTTCCCTGAGTCCTTCCTGTCTCTTCTGCAAATACTTCCTTAAATCTCCCGTTGAACGCCTCGCATAAATCTTGATCATTTCTTGTGAGTTCTCCACCTTCTTTCCTCAACCTGATCACCTGGTCTTTGTTGCCTTCCTCCTAATGTGGCTATACAGCAGTTTTGGGTCAGACTTGACTTTCGATGCTATGTTGTTTTCGTACTGTCGCTGGGCCTATGCATGTGCATATGTTTATGCATCTATATGTACACTCACATATTTGTGTTTATCTATGCATGCATGTGTATATGTATAAATGTGTATTTATTCATGTGCATATGTTTGCATGTATGTATGTATGTACACTTTTGCATAATTGTGTGTAGTATGTATCTGTCTGTACCCATCCAATCTATATATTTAAAGCTATCCAAAGTCCTTGCCTCAGTCCATCTCCATCTGTTCCAACTATGTAAGTCTTTAAGCTTATTTAGTATCTACAGCATACATCATAACTACAAAGGTAGGAATGCCCTGTTCATCTGAAGACCCTTTTTCAACATCTGTTAATGCCATCTTTATGCAGAACCTACCCAGCATGGGCCAACTAGTGTGGTGCAGTACTTGTTTATTCTTATTCTCTAAATCTAATTACCTTCCATTCCCCAGGCACTGTGTGACTCCATGCAGGTTTAATGCTGCCCCTTAATATATAATCCATTCAAATGCAGGCATGGCGCATCATGGTAGAGGGGCTGGATGAATGGAGCAGTATAATGCGACAAAATGCAGATACCTTGGTGCTGGACACTGTGGAGAAGCTGGCAGCCCTCATCACTGAGAAGAGAGCCTCCAGAAAGGTCTACTATGAGGAACACCAAAGGATAACCAATGAAGTTACCAGAGTGAGTCATCCTCGAAGCTTGATCTGGGGCCTGGTTGATTTGTTAGGTTTAAAGCCTAGTGTCTGCATGAGGGTCATTGAACCTCCATATCATTATATCACAAGTCAAGAACACTTTAATCCCCATGGGAATAAATCACATCAATTTTATTGGGTTATCCTACATTAAATCTACATCATGTAATTTTTATGTGCTTATAACATTTCTGAATGCAAAAATTAAATAAATACTTATTTTGAAGAGTAAAGTAAATTCTCACTCCCTATACACTGAGACATATTTTTGTGCATAAATCTATGTTTTTTGTACTGATATAAATATCTAACATTTATTATTTTGTAATGAGATGATATGGGAATATCGACAAGTTATCAATGATATACACAAGTTGAAGTAACTGGAAACTCTTCAAATAAGGTTTTGCCTGTGATAAAGCCTGTCACATAGACAAAACATTAGTTACTACAGTGTGTGTGTTCACTATCTTTGTATTTTCTAGTCATCATAAATATTTCAATGCTTAATTTACAACTTTTGTTTCTATATTGTTTCTTCATGAGTAACTGCAGTGCTAAATATGTAAAACTCCTTGTATAAATCATGTCCATTTAGCAGAGGGTTGCATTCTGTGAGTAACTTACTTGATGAGCAATTTACTTTACAGTTACAAGAAGCTGTAGAAAAATCCAAGAATAATTATGAACAGGCCCTGGAACTATACAAGACTTCCAAGACGAAGTATGAAGACCAGTTTCTTAAAGGTGAGAACATTAATGAACAATTATTTAAAAAATGCATTTTTGGAGTCGGTACTAATAAGTATTAAATTATAATTTTTGCATTACTTTCTTTGCATCGAGATCACTGATAAAGCTGAATCAAGTGATCTTAATTAAAGGGGCTTTTTACTTACGAATTAAAGGTAATGGAACTTCAGCTGGAGAATTCAAAATATGTTAAGCTATAAGTTGATTAAGCAAAGTAAAAGTATCATATACGTGATTATCAAATGGTATACAATACCGACAGGTTGGTAGATAAGACACATAGGCAACATTTAGTTGCCTAACTTGGAGTTTACCTGGAGAGAGTTCCGGGGGTCAACGCCCCCGTGGCCCAGTCTGTGACCAGGCCTCCTGGTGGATCCGAGCCTGATCAACCAGGCTGTTACTGCTGGCTGCACGCAAACCAATGTACGAGCCACAGCCCGGCTGGTCAGGTACCGACTTTAGGTGCTTGTCCAGTGCCAGCTTGAAGACTGCCAGGGGTCTGTTGGTAATCCCCTTTATGTATGCTGGGAGGCAGTTGAACAGTCTCGGGCCCCTGACACTTATTGTATGGTCTCTATGGTTGCCTGTGTGTCTTATCTATCATATACGTACTGCAGACAGACACATTGCCTGTCACTTGCAAAACATCCTTTTCTAACTAAAACTTGAAAACAGGAAATTGCTAAATTTAATTTTAAATAATACCATTTTATTATAGTACAGTACATACAGATGCATAAATGTTAAGTGCTATACATATATAAGCACAGGTTTATAGGCCAGGCAAAAAAGTCAAGTAGTCGATGCACTCTTGACAGCTCAAGGTCAACTGGTTTTCAGTTGCTACACCTGTTGCCAGACATGGGTCCCAATAGTCACATTTACTCTGTAAAAATATTTATATATAGATATTTCTGGGGGGGGGGCAATGATTATGAGAGTGCTTAGGGGCTTACAAAGACTGTAATCTGGTCCTGATCGCAAAGGCATGTAAACCCAACTTGTTTGATGGAATATGACAGGAAACCAATCTTGCTTGATGGGTGTTAGGTAAATATAGTTCTTGATCTAACCTTGTAAAATGTCAAGTGGGTCAGGATAGCCACACAATGTGGTGTATCGCTATCTAATTTTGATAATAAATAAATGATTTGGCCTGAGATGGGAGTTAAGAGACATGTGGTAAGGCTGTCTAGATTTGAGCTGCCTTGCAATTTTTGACAATGTTATGAGAGGTGCAGAGTCCCAGTTACCATAAGTCAACCAGCTAATGATGCCACTGATGAAGTAAAAACCACAGCTCCACTGAACTGATGTTCGAAACTGGTCATAATTGATAATACTATAGCTGGATGATCATACTTTAAAAATTAAATCAAATAAAATATTAAAGAAAATTAACAAGGTTTTATTATAGAAGGATGATAATTCACCAGTTCTCCAGTATACAGCAATTTTTAACACCTTAACTTGATATATTAAGGTTACTGTATTATGTAACAGTTTGGGGTTGTCTTTGTGAGAATAAAGATGTTTATATACCATTGTTGTATTTTGTTCTATTTCACTGTTGCAGAATTATGTTGCCAAAGTTTCCTTCACTGTCATTCTAGTACAGTAGTTGTATATCTCCTAACCTGCTTTTTTTGGCTTCTTAATCTTTATTACTTAACAAAAATGTAATATATGTATACTTTTCCCCATTGGTGCCCATGGCCTGGTGGCTAAAGCTCTCGCTTCACACAGTGAGGGTCTGGGTTCAATTCCCGGCGAGGGTAGAAACATTGGGCGTGTTTCCTTACACTGGTTGTCTATGTTCCCCATCAGTAAAATGGGTACCTGGGTGTTAGTCAATTAGTGTGGGTCACATCCTGGGACAAAACTGACCTAATTTGCCTGCAATGCTCTGAGAGTATAACAAGCGGCTTTCTATATAGTAGTACCTGTCATTGATGTCAGCTAGACCTATATACCTTGTACATGTACTTGTAGAAATAAAGATATTATTATTATATTATTTTTATCACTATTTGTCAGTAGTATATTACATCATTGGGTTATGCCCTTCACTGCCTGAATTTCCATTGTCTCTTCAATCTTTCTTCCTCCATGTTAGTTCTGTGTGATACAGTATATGCACTCTTAATATTATGAGACATATGTTTTCTTATCTTAATGATTTTTCAATTTTGATATACCGAGTAAGCTGTATTATTCCTCACACAAGATTTTTCAGGAAGCTCTGCAGTCCTTAATATTATATATTAGAGTATTCCTTCCATTGTTCTTATTTCTCTGTCAGTTGCCCACTCCTTTCAAACTCCTGAAAACTGATAGTCCATTTCTCCTATTTTTTAAATCTAAAGCAAAACATACAGTAGCAGTAAAATGTATTCGAACCTAGAACTAATCACCTGTAGGTAAGCCAGGACGCAAGCTGGACGAGCTGAAGGAACGCTATCAGAAGGCATGTAAAAAGCTTCACCAGGTCCATAATGACTATGTCCTCTTGCTGTGTGAGGCTGCAGACTATGAGAGAGATTTCCGAACAGTTCTTCTTCCTGGACTACTTGAGTACCAAGAACGAGTTCAGGAGGATATGATTGATAAATGGTAAGTCCGAACCTGTGTATTTCTCAGGTGTCTCTTGAAACAAGTAACTGAGTTGTCTGTTGGTCTTATATATTCCTTTCCTGATTTAGTACAGCTTGAGAGCATTTACTACAGGCACTTCTCTAGCTTGTGAAGCATATAGCATTCATTTACTATAATGTACTTGTATCATTTATGTAAATTAAATACAATATAGGTTGTGGCATTTTTTGAGAAGTTTCGTCCACCAGGGACTTTATTAATTTACTAAACAGTTTTTTGCGTCATTTTGGATCTATCCATAGGAAATCTGAACATTCAAAAAGACTTCTTAACACGATTCTTTTTACACTCAGACCAGTACGTATGTATGGTCTTCCCATAACACACACACTGGGTTCCCAGTGACACCTATCACTTTGAGCATTGGCAGAATTCCACATCAAGCAGCAGCAATCTATTAGCTGTACCACTGTATTACCTCGCATTTTTCATATTTAAAAAACAAATTTCAGGCGTTCAATACTGACTGAAGTGTGTGAGCTGACGGACACAACCCAAGGCAGGTATGCCCAGTTGCAAACAGAAGTAGCAACCTCTGTCTCGGCCATCTCACCCAAGTCTGAGTACTCATCATTCTCAGAGAGCAATAAGTAAGTGTAAAAATTACACAAAATGGGAAGAGACTGTGTATGTGTTGTGTTATTTTACATCACTGTTTTGACCACTGGAAAATAAGTCAAATTTGATCATACATTTTGAAGAGAGATACTGTACCACTTACTTTTATGTCATTGGCTTTAAATCAGTGACTTCAGTAGTTTTTATACAGTACAGTATTTTTATTCAACAAACCGGCTGTATCCCACTGAAGTAGGGTGACCTGAAAGAAAAACGAAAGTTTCTCTTTTTAAATTTAGTAATGTATGTAGGAGACGGGGGTTAAAATGTGGTGTTAATATTGTGCAGAGAATTCATAGTGAGGAAATTGGGAGGAGGTGTGGAGTTACTAAAAGTATTAGTCAGAGGGCTGAAGAGGGGTTGTTGAGGTGGTTTGGTCATTTAAAGAGGTTGGAGCAAAGTAGAACAAATAAGATTCAGGGAAACGGGTTAGTCAGACTTGAGTCCTGGAAGTGGGAAGTACAATGCTGGTACTTTAAAGGAGGCGTTTGGGATATTGGCTGTTTGGAGTGACATCTAAATAAACTGTTGTATCTGAGCACCTCTGCAAAGACAGTGATTATGTATGAATGATGGTGAAAGTGATGAATGATGATGAAAGTTTTTTTTTCTTTCTTTTTGGGTCACCCTGCCTTGGTGGGAAATGGCTGACATGTTAAAAAAAAGTATTTCATAAATATGAAAAAAAATACCAGAATGGTATGTTGAATTTGTATCTTCATGCAGTACAGTATACGTATCTGAAGGTGCTATTGCACAATTTATGAAGAAAATACGCTATTTATATGAACAGTTAAAAGTGTACTGCATTGTCTTTATTAATTTGAGGAACCATATAGTTTTTGGTTAGTGTCCAGTTCTTAAAGAGTCATGACTTAAGTAATTTTGTGTCTACTTTTATGTCTGATAACATTTCTGATTCTGAGGTGGTTTTGTTAGTTACACATGACCCATATTTTCAAGTACAAATTATTTCTTTTTTATTTGTGCTGCATTCAGGAGTATGCTAGTTGAGATAATATATGTTGGCTAGCAAGACTTGCCAACAAATATAATGAAAAAAGAAACTGTTTGAGGCAAACCTTTATTTACAGACAATGTTTCACCAATAAATGAAGGTTAGTTCGGCAGTGTCTTCTACCACGAGCTGATATCATTTGAATTTTGCATACGTGTTCTTTGGTTAGAATTGCCTTGTAAAACTATCATATCTTATTTTGTGGAAATCAGTAGAAGTTCTGTTAAGTAGATATGGTTGTCTTGAAAGAACATCAGAATCAGTATACGTATATTTTTTATCAGAAATGTAGATATTTTATGCTCTGATTAATATTATGTGAAAGCTAAATATTGCAGCTTGTAAGTGGTTTTTAAATATACACCTTTAAACTTGGAGAATTTTTAATAGTAATTAATTCCATTTCAATTTAATTAATTTTTCTTTCAAATACTTAACTGGGCAGGTTGTGTCTGAATCAAATGCAGATAACTATAGGTTGTCCTACAATCCTCAAACAGTACATGCTTCCTGAAATGTAGAATATATTAACTTTATTTTTGCAAGCAAGAATACAAGTTTAGTATTCATCATCAGTTTCTGTAATAGTGGTACTATACATAATTTAAATTCTAGTCACTGTTTGCTTAAGCACGAATTTACTACTACTATTTTTTTTTACCCTAATGCAGCTGTCTCTAATTCTCTCATAGATAGTCAGTAACTCTGATTTGTATTTTTGGTGAGTACAGTAAGTATATACATATACAGTATTTGACACTTCCTTTTTTTTGTTCTTTAATGTCAGCAATACCTGATGTTCATATTTACATTAACAGGAGTTCGCCACCTGATCCAGTGTCCTTCGAGTTCTGCAGTGAGCTTCTGGGAGATGGCGTTGGCTCCCTTCAGGCTGGTCAGCTGGCTGTTGACTCTCTCACAGTTGACTCCCTACGACTCAGGCTTAGTGATATTGAACATAGATTACGAGAAGTAACAACAGAACTTCGTGAGAAACAAAACTTATTAAATCAACATGAAACAGAAGTAGTTAATATCAAGAAAAACTCTTTACAGGACACCAACATTGCATCCAGGTGGGCATGTTATAAACAAGTTGTCTTAGAATTCCTGGGTACAACAAACTTTGTAGCTAAAGAATTAAAAAATTAACTACTGATCCAAATCCAGTAGACTGAAGACAGACCAAAACAGTTACATATCATTCATTTATCCTGAAGTGAAATTTATCCTGAAGTGAAATTTATCCTGAATTGAATTTGAATAGAGTTCCCAATTTATTCAGTCCGTACCCTTGTTAGAGATAGGGTGTCCCATAGATCGGTTGGTAGCACACTCACCTTGCATGTTGAGTGCCCATGGTTTGATCCCTGGTAAGAGTGGAAACCTTGAGAATGATTTCTTAAGACACCTGCTGTCCCTGTTCACCTAGCTGCAAAGTAGGTATCTGGGCATTAGCCAACTGGTGTGGGTCCTGTCCTGGAAATAAAATTAACCTAATTACCTGAAATGCTGTGCATAACCTGGGGCTTTCTGTATGGTGTGCCATTGATGTCAGCTAGGTCAGTTTAAGTTGTATTATGTACTGTACTTGTAGAAATAAAGATTTATTATTATTATTCTTTCAACGTATCAGCCGTATCCCACTGAGGTGGGGTGGCCCGAAAGGAAAAACGAAAGTTTTGCCTTTTAAATTTAGTAATATATACAGGAGAAGGGGTTACTAGCCCCTTGCTCCCGGCATTTTAGTCGCCTCTTACAACATGCATGGCTTACGGAGGAAGAATTCTGTTCCACTTCCCCATGGAGATAAGAGGAAATAGACAAGAACAAGAACAAGAACTAGAAAGAAAATAGAAGAAAACCCAGAGGGGTATGTATAGTGTGACCTAAGTGTAAACAGAAGTAGCAAGACGTACTTGAAATCATGCATGTTTATGAAACAGAAAAAAGGACACCAACAATCCTACCATCATGTAAAACAGTTACAGGCTTTCGTTTTACACTCACTTGGCGGGACGGTAGTACCTCCCTGGGCGGTTGCTGTCTACCAACCTACTACCTATGATTATTATTTTTTTTTTTTCAACAAACCGGCCATATTCCACTGAGGCAGGGTGGCCCAAAAAGAAAAACAAAAGTTTCTTTTTAAATTTAGTAATTTATACAGGAGAAGGGGTTACTAGTCCCTTGCTCCCGGCATTTTAGTCGCCTCTTACAACACGCATGGCTTATGGAGGAAGAATTCTGCTCCACTTTCCCATGGAGATAACAGGAAATGAACAAGAACTAGTAAGAAAATAGTAGAAAACCCATAGGGGTGTGTATATATATGTATATACAGTGGACCCCCGCATAACGATTACCTCCGAATGCGACCAATTATGTAAGTGTATTTATGTAAGTGCATTTGTACGTGTATGTTTGGGGGTCTGAAATGGACTAATCTACTTCACAATATTCCTTATGGGAATAAATTCGGTCAGTACTGGCACCTGAACATACTTATGGAGTGAAAAAATATCGTTAACCGGGGGTCCACTGTATATATATATAGTATATGCTTGTACATGTATGTGTAGTGTGACCTATGTGTAAGAAGTAGTAGCAAGACGTACCTGAAATCTTGCATGTTTATGAGACAGAAAAATGGACACCAGCAATCCTACCATCATGTAAAACAATTACAGGCTTTCATTTTACACTCGCTTGGCAGGACGGTAGTACCTCCCTGGGCGGTTGCTGTCTACTAACCTACTACCTAGGATGATTATTATTATTATTATTTGTAAACTGCAGACTACTACTATAGCACTGTGTCTAGTGCATATAGTTTTCTTTTTTAATAGTTTCCACTTTATTGTCCAGAATATTGTGACTGAATTCCTACAGGGTTGTTGACAAAATTTACTTTGAGTTGTGTTGATTTCCTGAAAAAAGACCATATTTTCTGCATCCTATCTTGATCACTTGTCCTCTTTTTATCTAGCAGTAAAAAGCTTATGGGTTACCTAATATTTCATTAACAAAATCCTTATCAGGCTTTGCTTCCAGCCACAGTTGTTTTTGTACCTACAATAATTTTACAAAAGTTCTTGGGAAAAGAGCAGATATTTCTCTGTTAGCTGAACTTTCTTCCTCTAATTGCTCTGACCAACAGTGGTTTCAGTTCACTTTTAAAAGCATGTAAGTAGTAGGTTGGTAGACAGCAACCACCCAGGAAGGTACTACCGTCCTGCCAGGTGAGTGTAAAACGAAAGCCTGTAATTTTACACAATGGTAGGATTGCTGTTATCTTTTTACTGTTTCATAAACATGCCCTTTGCTCTGAGCTCGTCACCACCAATTGGAATGCTCTTCTCCAAGGGGATGTTGACAACTAAGTGAAAGCCTTCACTGGATGCATCCTTAAACTTCAACAAGAAAACATTCCTCACTAGCAGTATGTGATGAAGCCTACAGATCAACCTTGGTTTGGCTATCGTTGTAGAGAGGCTGCTACTGCTAAGTAAAGGGCATGGCAAAGGTATAAGAGACATCCTACCATCTATAACAGGAACTTGCACAGGCAGGCCTGTAGGCATATGGGTGAAGTTCAAAAGTGGGCCATCGCTAAATGGGAGGTGGACACAAAAAGAAAGCTAACATCAGGTAGAGTAGGCTCCAAACCTGATGGTCCCTGGTCAAGGACAGACAAGGTTATCTGCCTGATGAACTCATTCCACCTCTAAATCGACAGGATGGGTCCACCTCTACTAGTAGTCAAGAGAAAGTGGACCTCTTTGCCGAGCACTTTGCTTCCAAAATGCAAGTTCCTGATCCAGCACGAGACCCTCCTTGGCTAGCTGCAAGAACTGTGTCAAAACTTTCGGTGGTGACAGTAAGGCAGGAGGAGGTGTATTTCCTTCTTAAATCACTTGACCAGGAAAAGGCTGTGGGCCCAGACAAGTTGAGCCCAAGATTGCTAAGATGATGTGCAGACCAGCTAGCAGCACCTCTAACTCGCATCTTTCAGCACTGCCTAGTACAGGGTAAATGGCCTTCTCTGTGGAAAGAGGCAAATGTAGTCCCTGTTCACAAAAAGAGGATCAGAGCAGAAACCAGCGATTACAGACCAGTGTCACTCCTGTCAATCACTGGAGTTTACCTGGAGAGAGTTCCAGGGGTCAACGCCCCCGCGGCCCGGTCTGTGACCAGGCCTCCTGGTGGATCAGAGCCTGATCAACCAAGCTATTGCTGCTGGCTGCACGCAAACCAACGTACGAGCCACAGCCCGGCTGGTCAGGAAGCGACTTTAGGTGCTTGTCCAGTGCCAGCTTGAAGACTGCCAGGGGTCTGTTGGTAATCCCCCTTATGTATGCTGGGAGGCAGTTGAACAGTCTCGGGCCCCTGACACTCATTGTATGGTCTCTAAACATGCTAGTGACACCCCTGCTTTTCATTGGGGGGATGTTGCATCGTCTGCCAAGTCTTTTGCTTTCGTAGTGAGTGATTTTCATGTGCAAGTTCGGTACTAGTCCCTTTAGGATTTTCCAGGTGTATATAATCATGTATCTCTCCCGCCTGCGTTCCAGGGAATACAGGTTTAGGAACCTCAAGCGCTCCCAGTAATTGAGGTGTTTTATCTCCGTTATGTGCGCCGTGAAGGTTCTCTGTACATTTTCTAGGTCAGCAATTTCACCTGCCTTGAAAGGTGCTGTTAGTGATAGAACAAGATAGAACAAGTGACCTGAGACAATAATCTCAAGACAAATGAGAGTTTTTTGACTACCACTCACTACTTTGTGACCGTCAATATAGCTGCAGGAAAGGTTACTCTGCTGCTGATCTGTTGTTAAACCTCTCTACTAAATGACACCAGTCACTGGATGAATCCAAGGTCAGCTATGTGGTAACACTGGACATTGCTGGTGCTTTTGACCACGTGTGGCACCAGGGCCTCTTAGCAAAACTGCAAGCACTGGGAATTCCAGGCTCTGTGCTATGTTTCCTCAGTGATTACCTTCTTGGTAGATCTCTAAGGGTAGTTCTCAATGGAACAGAATCAGCAAGACATCCTATTAGGGCAAGTGTTCCACAAAAAGTGTGCTGGAACCATTGTTATGGAATGTCTACTTCAATGACCTTCTTCATCTCATCCCAGCATCCCATGCATATGCAGACAACTATACAGTGTCATTCACTTATCCAAGAGAAGAAGTGCCAGCTGCTCTAAGCTACATCACTCACCAGCTAAAAGCTATATAAGCTTGGGGAAACAGATGGCAAGTAACATTTGCACCTGAGAAAATGCAAATGATGATGGTCTCCAGGCACCATGATAGTAATGCTGGTGCAGTAGTAAGCATGAATGGGAAGGTGTTGGTACCTGGGAAAGAAGTTGATATCCTTGGGGTGAAATTTGACTCTAAACTGACCATGAAGTACCTTGCTGTAAATCTTGCAAACAAGACGGCCAGGAAGCTTACAGCACTTTGCCGTATCTCGCATCTGCTTGACAGTAGGGGTTGCAAGATTCTGTATGAGGCACAAGTACACTCACACCTTGAGTATGCTCCACTTTCTTGGTTTGTTTGCCCTCCCTCTCATCTGCGACTGCTTGACAGAGTAGAGAACAGAGCAAGACGTCTCATCTCTCGCCTGGACCCATCCTGGATAGATCTGTCATTTCAGCAGAGTCTTCAACACAGGAGGGATGTGGGTGGCCTTACTGTTATGTATAAGGTCAATATTGTCAAAGTACAACACTTGGATCCACTTAGAGAACAGTGAGAAGCAAGCTTCTATACCACAAGACGGGCAGAAAGAAGCAACTTCACTCTGGCTGTACCCTTCTCCAGAACATCACTTCATCTGAGATCATTTATGCCCAGGATGACTCGAGTCTGGAACACATTCGTACAGCATTATGATGTCAATGAGATGAAGTCAGTTGATCAAACGAAATTGCTGGCCCACAGATGGCTCCAACTTCATCCTGTTCCCTACTTGTATGTTTCATAATGATAAAAATGCTTTCAAATGAGCTGATGTAGGTAACAGCTCTTAGCTTGTCAATAAAGTTAGGAATCCTTAGCCTGTAAATAGCTTGTCAATAAAGCTAGGGATCCTTAACCTAACCTTGTCAAACCCTACACACTACACGTACATGTACATGTTTATGTATACACATTCATCTGAGTTTTCTTTGATTTTATCTTAATAGTTCTTGGTCTTATTGCTTTTCCTTTCATATCCATGGGGAAGTGGAATAAGAATCTTTCCTTGGTAAGCCATGCGTGCTGTAAAAGCCAACTAAAATGCCGGGAACAATGGGCTAGTAACCCCTTTTCCTGTATAGCTTACTAAAAAGAAAAAGAAGAGAACCGTCAAAGTGGAATGTTTGAATGTGCGTGGATGTTGTGCAAATGATAAGAAAGAGATGATTGTGGATGTTATGAATGAGAAGAGGCTGGATGTCATGGCTTTAAGTGAAACAAAGCTGAAGGGGGTGGGAGAGTTTCAGTGGGGAGAAATAAATGGGATTAGGTCAGGGGTTTCAAATAGAGTTAGAGCTAAAGAAGGAGTAGCAATAATGTTGAAGGATAAGTTATGGCAGGAAAAGAGGGAATATAAATGTATTAATTCAAGGATTATGTGAAGTAAAATAAGGGTTGGATGTGAAAAGTGGGTTATAGTAAACATTTATGCACCTAGAGAAGAGAGAAGTGTATAGGAGAGAGAGAGATTTGGGAAATGTTCAGTGAGTGCATGGGAAGTTTTGAACCAAGTGTGAGAGTATACTTGTGGTTGGGGATTTCAATGCTAAAGTGGGTAAAAATGTTGTGGAGGGAGTAGTAGGTAAATTTGGGGTGCCAGGGGTAAATGAAAATGGGGAGCTTTTAATTGAGCTATGTGTAGAAAGAGGTTTGGTAAAAAATAATACATATTTTATGAAAAAGAGGATAAATAAGTATACAAGGTATGATATAGCACATAATGAAAGTAGGTTATTAGATT